TTCCTTAATAGGGCTCATTTAAGCCTTCGATGCTGCAATTACTTTTTTATACAGTCTGGTCTGCAATGCTAGTCTGTTGTGCTCATCATTGTGCACAACCAATTAAAGTTTTTGAAGATGATTGGCAAAGTTTTTGCTTTTTAAACTTCCATGTCACACCTTACATTAGAAGGAAAGATCATTCTCCTTGTCTCTTGATATTCTTCCCCTAAATTCTCATTATTCTTTCTTGCGTCTTCTCTTTTTCCTTTCTCCTATTCTCTTTCTTATCTCTCCCTCTTTCCTTTATCAATTTTCTTCTTGTTCAATGCATCCTACTAAGTATAGTTCCCACGAAAGTTGTGTACTTAATTTAGTTTCGATTGATACTAACTTTAACCAAATAGCAAAAGCAAAATTACTTGAGCCGATGTTTGGCTTCCATTTTGTCATAAACTCATATTCAACTACACATTATTCCATAAAATAATTTTATATGTAAATTGAAAAGTTTTCCTTATTCTTAAATTACACATTTTCCAGAAAATCACTATTTCAAATATATTATCTTACAAAAATGGGGCTCAAACAAGGGCTGAGTTTTATAATGGTAAATTAAACATGTAACTAACTAAATACAAAACTTTTACCTAATTAAGAAACGTTTATGAGACTCAATTAATTAAAAGCACGAAGACCTTGAATTACCCATTAAAACCAACACCTATTTGAATTGAAGACCAATGTTCCTATTTTATTTAAGAATCTCTCTTGAGTAATGTTAAAACTATCCACGTATATGACTTTATTATATCTCTATGAATGACGCAAACATGTGAAGATGTATTAAATCACAAAAACATTCAATAAGATCATGCAAAGCATAGAGAAATCAATAAGGAACAAAAATTTTTGGTGCGATCCCTAGGGAATTGAGACAATTAAATTTTACTTCAGGCAGAAAGCTCCCTCTTTCTGTCAGAGATGGTGGAAGTGATGCTAGCACTTTGAGACGGCTGCCTTTTCTTTTGATCTAAATGTCTCTCCTGCGCCTTATCGAACTTTTCAATAATTGTAACTACATGCTATAATTCCTATTCTTTATCTCGAGCAAAATAAAAATTACAAATCTGATCAATTATTGATCAAGTAATTGAAATACATCAAAAGCCTAACAATCATTCAAACAAAACAAATATTTAAAGTCAAAATATGGAAATTAACATTAAAATATCAAAATGTAGTGTTCATTGTTATCCTAGAGTCTATACAATTAGTGGAGCATCATGTGATTACAAAATACGAATTTGATCAATAATCCATCACTTATGATTTAAGTGTAAAAAGAAGACGAAAATAATGTCGAAATATTGAATATTAAACACTTTTTGAATAATCTTCTTGAATCTATTTCTTCAAAGTCTTAGACAATATGAAATTCTTTGTAAGGAATGTGTTTTGTATCTAAAAGATTTACATTTGAGTGATAGATAAATAAATGTCCCTATATTTCTCGATTTAGGTTAAAACTTGTGACCTAAATTTTAATCCATGTAGAAGTAAATTTGGATTGCGAAAAAATTTTGAATTGCCCTGTATACCCATTCTATCGCATGGTAGAAGTAGTTGATCGCACAGTTATGGCATTGAACTTGCTGGTCAGATTGGCCAAGCCTTGCGATCGCAAAGCTATAACTTCTGTTTACTCTCCTCTTCTGTTCACCTCGAGTCCATTCTCATTTACATCATCAGTCCTTTATATTTCAATTCTTTATAAGTTGATCTTCATTCTCCAAAATCATCCATAAATGATACGTTTTCAAGTTCCGAAAGTTTTGTACATTAGTCCCCAAACTTTCCAAGTGTTGAATTTAGTTATCGAAACTTGTGAATCGTCTTTGTTTTCTCTTTTCATACATCTTATAAACACTAGAAATTTGGTTAGCCTCCAATTACTCAAAATCAACTCAAATTAAGATCAAAATCTTAATTTGGCTAATTTTATCCAAGTCTATTTTTAATACAAGTAACATAATTACACTAAATTATGTAGATATCCACTCAATTAGCCATAATTCATCAGGTGTAGAAGCGTGGATTTTCATTATTACTACGATGCATATTTGCTCAAAGAGTCATCCTTTGTAATGTATCGATAATTTAATACTAGGTTTGATCATCTATATTCCATTCATATATGAGTGTGTAAAACATGCTTATTAATGGCCTCAACTAATTGTAACTAGTCTATGCTTTAGTTTGGATCTAGAACTTTCTTTCGGCTGTCTTTAGATATGAATTACATCGTTCTTGTTAGAACTATACCCATCATTTCCCTTTAACAATTAGAAACTTAATTTTTCTTTATGCACTTAAGTAGGAAGTTTTAGTACATTTTGTCCTTTCTAATATAATGTTTGTGTTTAGTATAGAAATAAGAGCCAATTTGAATTACACATTAAAAAATTCTGTCAAGAATGATCTCTTTTTCGGCACATTTAACTTATTTTGTTTATAGGTTCATATTTTTGTATTTATTTCCATATGATATATAGCTATTGTTGAATGTTTTCTGTATCGCAGGACCGTGATTATTAGTTTCTTATAAGAGATGCAGTCAACGTATTCTGTTTTGTGATCATTCTACTTTGATGATATATACAGATTGGAACTTCAACCCTTTGGAATTGATGTGATTAACATTGTTCCTGGAGCCATCAAGTCGAATATAGGGAATTTTACTTCAGCCAGTTACAGCAAAATGCCGGAATGGAAATTGTACAAGAAGTTTGATGAAGTGATTCGAGGAAGGGCAAATTTGTCACAAAGCCTAAAATCTACCCCTACCGAAGAGTTTGCGGAGAAGACTGTCAATGTAGTGCTGGAAGATAACCCACCTGCACGGTTCTCTACAGGCCGTCTCTCCATTGTAATTTCAATAATGTACCATATGCCACTTTCGATTCGAGATTTTATTCTCAGGAAAAGATTCAACTGTTGAGGTACACACTCATTTTTTCATTGGCCCCAAGGATCTTATTTGAATATTGTTAAGTTTTCTCTGGAACTGAGGTTCTTTTGAGCCCAGTAGGTCGACACACCAAAAGAAAAAGGCCAAAAAATTTATATGTTACACAGTTATATCAATTTACTCGTGCATCTGTTCAGCAAATAGAATACTCTGTAGCGTAAATCCCTTGATAAATTTTGATTCCGGGCTCAAAAAATAATCAAACGAATACCAGTTTACATTAGCTCGACCCAAGACTTTCACCTTCACTTTGGACTGCTCTCTTTCTCTCTAACCCCACAAAGGAGAAGGGTGGTGGTGTTAGCAATACACAAAGGTATGGAAAGGAAGAAGAACAGTGATTGAATCTTACTCACAACTTCACATGGCTTCCCTCTCTCTCGGTTGCCTCTCTTCTCTCAACTCTCCTCTCCATTGCTACAACACACACACAACAAAAAACGGCTGGGAGATATATATATATATATATATATATATATGTGTTAGTTTAGGTCAGTCTAATTGGGTCTAGGATTCACTAAGTGGGCTACCAATTAACCTAAACTAATGGGTCAATATTCAACTCCATATTAATCACTAAATGGTCCAACTAACCAAATAATCATCCAACCAAACCCGAATCATCCAAAAGTGTAGTTCATCTCCTAGCCGAGCCAAGTCCATGGTGTCGATAAATAATCCGACAACTGTTTTAAATCATTGCCCGAATTACTGGATATCAGAAAACCCAACATACTCGTTAGTAAAGATTGTAATGGTTCTTGGTTTCAGTGTATCTGGGTGTTTGGATGAGTATAGTTTCATGTTTAGCATTCAAAATATCCTTCTTCCATCGTCCGATCCCCCCTTCCACTAGGAATGAATAGGATTGGAAGGCAAGTTGCACCTGAGAAAGAATAAGGTATTTGGGAGCTGTGTTGCTCTCATCCTCTTGAATATGATTTTCGACTCTTTTTGAATTCACTGGTTCATTTTTTTAGGATAGCTTTCGGCCTTGTTTGTTTTGCTTTTTTTGGCAAGTTTCCTTAGCGATATTCACCGAACTAGTTACTTTGTTATCTTTTTTATCACTTGAAGAGGACGATATACCAACTCCTCCACAGCATACTGTGATTAGCTGATAATTTCAACCAGCTACTTTTAAGATGATTCATAGTACCATATTTCTTCGTAAATAATTTCATGTTTGTTTGAAGGCTAGAATGAAATTCATTCATATCTTGAGAGGAAGTTTCTTGCAAACTGTCACAAGCTGGGTTGCTTGGTTTGATAATTTCAACTCAACGACTTTTAAGATGATTCATAGTACCACATTTCTTCGTAAATAATTTCATGTTTGTTTGACTTTGAAGGCTAGAAAGAAATTCGTTCATATCTTGAGAGGAAGAAAGAAATTCGTTCATATCTTGAGAGGAAGTTTCTTGCAAACTGTCACAAGCTGGGTTGCTTGGTTTGATAATTTCAACTCAGCGACTTTTAAGAAGATTCATAGTACCACATTTCTTCGTAAATAATTTCATGTTTGTTTCACTTTGAAGGCTAGAAAGAAATTCATTCATATCTTGAGACGAAGTTTCTTGCGAACTGTCACAAGCTGGGTTGCTTGGTTCAATTTGACATTTGATTATTCATGTTTATTTGATTTTGAATTTGTCTTTACTTATGAAGTTAATCTAACCATTCCATCGACCAAAAGCCGCAAGTTCATGGACAACTCAATTACCATTTTTGGGGATAAATCTACACGAACCAGGCCTCGTGGCATTTAAGTAAAAATGCCTCATTCGGCGCAAAAGAAAAATATATGAACAATTACTTTTATTTCTCAAAAGTATATGCTCATCGACAATATAGATATTTTTTTCAGTAATAAAATTTAAAACTTGCAGGCTATGCTTAATATGGACGACATCAATGGTTAATCGAAAATATTGTATTTCATTTTTATTCTGCATTACTGTATGGTAAAGACCGATCAAGCTAACAAATATACAACAAAATTTAAAGTACTTGTATTGCTTATAAATTTTTCTAAGTACAAATTGACTCTAAATAGGTAAAGAATAACATCGTCTACACTAGAAGGAATAACTGAAAAAATGATAAATGACCATGTACACCCCTAAAAAGAGAGGAATTTAGGCCCTACACTGTTTTTTAGACGAAAAAAAAGGGAAAACTCCGGTTTTTAACATTTCATTGAAAAATACGCCCAGGAAATTACACATTGATTGGAACTTCGGTTACTTTACTTTGAAAAAAATAAAAAATAAAAAACTTACAATAGTTGAAACTTGTCAATAGTTATTGCAGCTCTATGAGAAATTACAATAATTGTTACTATTTAAAAATTGTATTTTTCTTGGCGTATTATTCAATAAAGTGTTAAAAAATCGGAATTTTCAATCTTGATCCCTAATTTTAGTATGTTTCCCCCAAAAAAAAGTCCTATGGCCTGTGGAAGCCTTTGGTATCACCACATCCCATTATTGATTTGGGCAATGGACCAACTTTCTCAATACCTTCTTCAAATATAACTCCCATACCCATGAAGAAATGGGACTCTATATGGCAATGAAAAGCCCAAACTCCCGGGTTATCGGCCCGAAATCTCAAAGCAGTCCATCCATATGGATGAACAGGCACTGTGTTTTTCATAATTGGGTTTACTAGGTTGAAGTTTTTGGGATCCTTAGTTTTGTCAAACTTGCCCTTGCCATAACCCAAAACCCAAAAATCATGTCCATGTAAATGCCATGGATGTGTCTCACTATTGTTGGGGTTCATTGTGTTGGCATTCTGCAATATGATATCCACCGTTGTATTGAACTTATTTCTGTAGATGCCAGTGCTTGTAGTGGCATTCACATTCTTGGCAACGCTGTAAATGTCGTAGTTCGCAAAGTCGTACCCGTCAGGGGGAGGAGAAGGGTCGAAGGCATCGGTAAAGTTGTACTTAAGTGCGATGAGATATGGCGTGTGCGGGAGATTGTACGAGGCGTTGTTGATGGACCAACGGCGGACGCCGTTGATATTGTTTTGTGTATTGAGCATCACAATTACTCGGTCAGATGTCTGAGGAGGAGGGTGGATATAACCTTGGCGTGATTTTATTGCAATGCTTTGAGTCAGCCGTGGTTCGTTGTCATTCCAATGCGGTCCGGGAGCTGGAACCGTTGGAGGGTTTCGTCGTGGATGGTTCGGATAATAGTTAAAGATGGCTAAACCATTTGTAGTATTGCTATTCCTGCTTACAATTTTTGCACTTGCCCAGTAGTTTCTAGAAGGATCTTGATCGGCCGTAATTAGGACGGAATATGTCTCACCGGAGTAAATGAACAAGTTTTTTACAACAAAGGGTTCGACATAGTGACCATCAGCTTCAACAACAGTCATGTTATGTCCTTCAATTTCAAAATTCAACGCGGATAAGGCTGTTAGGCTTCCGATTCGGAGTCGATACGTTTTTCGAGGAATCACTGTCAGCGCATAAGGTGTACATTCAGGATTTGTGGCATTGCAAAGACTTGCTTGAATGCCTGGTGTACTGCAATTGAACCTTCCCTTGCCTTGTATCAGAATAGACTGAAAAATTAAGAGAAACCCATTAGTCACTTCACATGGAATATAACCACTACTTAAAACCAGCTTGCAAGGGGAGAGTGTCATGAGCTATGAGGCGGAGCCAGCGCCCGACGAGCTTCCGCTGGAAATATTTCCCCTCGTATTGGGCGGCTGCTCGTGGCCGTCGAGCTCCGCCCTAACTCAGATGAATTATTGGATCCGCCAATGAACTTGTTTTGTTGTGCTTAAAAAGTACTATAGAAGTTACTAATAGTACAACCAAAAGCCTGCATTAAGTCTTAACGAATGTAGGGTGCAATTAAAGTCATCATAGACGGGAATAGGTTGGGATAAACTTACTTGAGGTTCTCCAACCCAAACAAAGGGTATGGAAGAGAGGCCTGCAACTTGTTCATATGTGCTGGCGTGATACCAATCAGTAAGGATTATACTTCTATCATAGTCATACGAAAAGGGCTCGGATTCTCCTTCGGGAAGCGATACACGAATCGATCCGTACAGCCCCGCTTCTCTTTGCATACCATAGTGTGCATGGTATAAATATGTCCCTGGCTGCAGAACAAGGAAAAAACATAGTGAACTACTAAACCAACAACTGAAATTCATTTGGTTCCGCCTTAAAACCGACATGCAAGACGTGACTTTTCACGAGTTATGTGGGACGACTCAAAGTAGTCACAAAGGTTTAATTAAAGAAGAACGTACTCTATCGACAATAAATTTGTACACAAATGTGTCTCCAGGTAAAATAGGACACTGTGTCACCCCTTCTGTTCCATCGAACCAAGGCGTTCCAATCTGCAAAAAACAAGAATCCTTTAGCCGACATGCATGAACTTGTTACGCCTCTTCCAGAGAGACTCCACAGATGACCACATGGCAGCCACATAGAGAGTGATACTAGGCCCACACTCCATATCTTTCTGGCAATGTGACGATTTGCCAAACCCCATGAAGAGGCCGAACCCCTGTGGAGAGTTCGAACCCATGTGACCGGCCAAACACCCTTTTTCACTAAGTTTTTTTAATCAAAAAAACTAAATTGATAAACAAAATTCAGCAAGTCACCTGTCTTATTCCATGCCAGTGGATTGCAACATTTTCTGTTAACAAACTGTTTTTGAGCTCTACAATAATTGTATCCCCCTGCTGAGCAACGATACTCGGCCCTGGCGTTTTTCCATTGACGGTAATAGCAAGCTTTTTATAGCAATCTGGAGACTTAAATTCATACTTCGCTTCCCATTTGTAATGGCGAACTCTACCCTCAACCAATGGAACAGTAAAAAAACAAATTAGAACAAAACATGCTAAGAAATTCATCGAACTACTCCCAAGAAACTCCACGTTTCTTCTACTGAAAAGCTGAGTACGAAAAGAACAGAGAAAGAATCAGACCGAACTCGACCAAACGAACAAATGGTTCAGTCCTGTAAAACTAACAAATTTAGAAAGTTGATTGGTTGCAAAAATGCTTTAATTGTGTCTTCCTTTATACATACAGAGGCTTTCTTAAATAAAGTGCATAAAAAATGAAAATGTCTAACGTTTGACCGGGCGCAACTTGCAAGTTGTCTCTGGTCAAAGTTTTTTGGTCAGACTTAATAAAACGAGAAAACAGTAACGATATTTTGTAGAAAAGTAGAGAAATGTTTGAAAACTCAAAGCCTAGGCCTTCTGAGTTGAAATGGAGATATTTATTTGAATAAATGAAAAGATCAAAACACACTACTTGTTATTTTATTTAAAATAATTTTTTGGCAGATTTCCTATAATTGATTTTTCGAAATAACTAGAAAACATGGAAGCAAATTGATACAAAGACTATAATATCAGTTTAAATTTTTAAATGAAATAGCTTAAGATAATATCGAGCAATTAAGTGTATTGAATTATTGTTGTGCTCTTGTCAAATAGTGAAATTTGTGAGAGATCAACTTGTATTTTTAAGGACACGCTGGAGTTTAAAACGTAATTAAAGAAATTTCATTTTAAATGAACTTCGCTATTAAACACCCGTTTGGCCCCTATTTTTTCAAATTAAAATGGGTGCAATAGTATTTATTTATTTGAAAATGAGTGGTTGAAAAAAGAAGGAAAATTTTTCGATTTACGTATACTATTATTGTATAAAAGACTGTAGATTGAAAATATGAGAGAAAAAAATTTAATTTAATTTAATAGGGGCACTTTTAGTTAAAGTCATTAATAAGCATTAAATTCCTAAGGGGCACTTTTAGTTAAAGTCATTAATAAGCATTAAATTCCTATTAGAAAAGTATTACTAAAGGAAAGATATAAATGATTTTGAATTTTTTTTTCCCCTAAATTTATGCATCTCAATTCATGGAAATTTCCGTTTCAATTAAAAAAAAAATAGATCCCGTCACTTATGCAACAACTTAAATAAAATATAAATATATTGTTTTTTTATGAGGTCATGAAACTAATTTTTTCTTTATTCATATGAATTATTCCATGAGATTAAGGATAAAAGTTGGGGAAAGTTTATTTATAAAAACTTAGTTTAAATTGAGAATTATGCCTATACAGAGTTATTTCCATTGAATGGCGAGAATTCTTAAGAAACTAAAAATAAATTCTTTTAGTTTCATTGTAGCAGTCGAAATGATATATTCTCATTTTATGTCACAATGCCTTGTTCCTTACATTGGAACAAAAAAAAAATAATAAAAAAATAAAATAAAAAAATAAAAAAATTTATTATACAATATATAATTTGCTTTGACCTCCCCAAACAAACCCATGCTTCATTGCAAAAATTATCAAGTTGAGAGAGAGAGAGAGAGAGATTAATCTCATTTAAGAACTTACAATATTAAAAACTAAATAATTACTTATCTATAAATATAGAGTCTGTTTGGGAGTGATTTTGAGAATTGATTTTTTGACCGTTAGGGAAAAAGTAGGGTCCACCTGTGAGAGAAGAAGTCAAATATGACGGCTGAAATAGTTAAATAACGGTCAAAAAATCAATTTTTTGGGAGGAAAAATCGCTCCCAAACAGGCCCATAATTTCATGACTAGCAACGTGGACGTCCACATCAAGAAATCAACTTTTTGTGTTCATTATGAAATTTTTGAATCAAAATCCTAGGTTTCATAAAAATTAATATAAAAACATTTTAAATTGAAAAGTGACTAAAAACATAAATCTGAAAGATGCTTTATTGATTTAGATAATTTAAAAAATTAAACGACAAACTTTATATTTTTATATTTTAAATAACATTGTTGGTTCCTTTGACGAGAAACCGCGTTGCTTTATTCCCAAATCACCACTTTGGGAAGCTACCTTGCATGTGATTTGACTAACACAAATTGGTCAAATTTATATTTTTCAAAAAAGGAGGCGCCTTGAGCTGTTGACATGTTCCCATCGGCTGGATTTAATTTAATACAATATTCATATAAATTAGGATGAGATAATAAGCAATTTTATTGTAAACACATGGCTTGTTTAATAGGATAATAATGGACACATATAGATAATATTTTAAAAATAAAATAAAATATCAACATTATTGAAAAAAATAGCTAAAAAATTCTTATAAGCAATACTAAATTTTTATCTTTAACAATGTATCACAAGATAGTTGTTCGTTTAAACATACTTGAAACCATAAAAAGAATAGCTGCTTGAAACCGTATATGTTGTTTAATTTTATATACTTAATGTGAAATTTTACATTTAACATATATGGGGCTGTTTGATAGTCATTTTTACGTAAAAATACATTTTAGAATAGTAAATTGATGTGAAATGTGTGGTTGAAAAAAAGAAAAAAAATTATTTACGTGTAATATTATTTTAATAAAGAATGTGTGATTGAAAAAAAGAAAAAGAAAAATACATTTTGAAAAAAAAAGCTACCAAACGGGGCCACAAAACAATATCGAAAATAAATAAAACAGAAAATCTACATTTATTTTGTTTAATACTATGTACTAAGTCATTGTTTGATTTTGATAAAAATCAATTTTTTGTTTATTATGATAAAAGTTGATGAAATGTATAATTGAAAAGTGATGAGTTTCATGAAATGTATTATTAAATTAATTGTTGACTTTAACTTATATATTTTTCAATTTTTTTTTAGTTAAATCAAACGGTCACAAAATATATTAGTCTATAAAATTTATGGTGTGAGTTTGCCATTGATATATTGTTTTTTTCTTTGTTTTTCACATTCGTTGTCGCTGATATGATCTTTTGGTTTTTATATTACAATCTACATGTGCGACTCTTTGAAAGTCTAACCATGTTTGTGTTAGATCTTCCATATTATTGACATTAACAAAGGTCTAATGAACACTCAAATCTTTCTAGCTAATCTTTCATAAAGAGGTTTAGCAGTAAAGTCAACTTATAAATCTAAATATTCTAAAGCATTTTAACATAAATCGTTAATATTATTTGTGAAAACCCAATCTTGAGATAATCCTACTTTTATTTTTAAGTTTTCTATCAAAGTAATTTGTCGAAACACATTAAATTTGTAATTTTTTTCTTGCTTTTTTCATTTTTCGTTTTCGCTATCGTTGACTGGAACTTAACAATATCAAGATATAGTTTTTCAAAATATACTTTAATACTAAACTTGCATCTGTATTAAAATATATTGAGAGGCATGTAGGTTTTTTATTTTTTTATTTTTTATTTTAACTACGAGAGGCATATAGCAGGTGTAAAAGGTGCGCGCTAACGAATGAATATTGTTGATGACATTGCTTAAGAACAATTCAAATCGTACATTCGACCACATAATCTTGGAATATATTTATTTTCTTTTTATGCATAAATTTTTAATGTTCAAGTTGAAAGTTAATTGAGATGAATTTATTTATTTTTGATTAATACATCTACAGAATTTTATAGGTAAGATGAATACACAGGCACAGGCACAAGCACAGGCCCACCACACCCACGACTCGGCTGGTCGGACAGCAGCGGCGCGCACGTGTGTGGCCTTTGGATTAATCTAGACATTGTCTAAAATTTTCCCCTTTTAAAGACTATTGGTACCTCTTGGGGTCCAAACCCATATCCAAACTTGAAGTTTATTAAGTGGTTCAAGGTTGTATTTGCAACCTATGTTGGATTGGAACATTTTTCCAATTCTTTCCCATTTATTCCTCTTATTTATTGTCCAACTTTCAACCATAATTTCTCATTCATATTGAAGTGATCGACCCGGCCGGTCGGACGGCAGCGGCACGTACGTGTGTGGCCTTTGGATTAGTCTAGACATTGTCTAAAACTCCCCCCTTTTAAAGACTATTGGTACCCCTTGGGGCCCAAACCCATATCCAAACTTGAAGTTTATTAAGTGGTTCAAGGTTGTATTTGCAACCTATGTTGGATTGGAACATTTTTCCAATTCTTTCCCATTTATCCTCTTATTTATTATCCAACTTTCAACCATAATTTCTCATTCATATTGAAATGATTTTTCACAATTAAATATTCTACACTCATCTACTCGGAACGTAGAATTTAATTGAACATTAATCTTGATACATCGAACATCGGGTCCCACTTAAAATTGTGGTCAAAATTGACCCAATAGACCCACCATTTCCAACAGGTGCATCTTCATTAAGATTATCCTAAATTCATTGTCTTCGATTGTTGCATCATATTCTGCATCATCTGGATCTTCCATTGAAGAGTACATGGCAATGGTACACAATATGGAAGGGATAGCAAAGGGAAGCCCGTATTATTGCTATGTATGCAACTTTCTTTGTAACAAAGATGCATGCACAGTCTTTGTTTCGGTTAAAGATGGAATATTGCAAATGAAATAGCTTATGTATAATTATGAAATTTGGCAATCGAAAATCCTTGGATGCCATGACAATGTCTCTGGAAGTGGGGTTGTTTTTCATTGATATGTATAAAATTTGGATTAAAGTTGTTAGAACAGTTGAAACACTGTCCATCGATTTTTAGGTAGTGCAATGACTCTGGATTCGTTGATGGTATATTAGCACACTTTTTGTTCATTTTAACACATTGACCTTCCTTTTGGGGGTATTGTATATTGTTAAGCGTTATAATATATTTTCAAATTTTTTTTTTATTTCCTCACTTTTTATGGGTTTGTCATTGAGTTTGTGTCGCTTTTTCTAAATTTTGTCATTTTTGGTGCGTGTCACTTTTTTAATGTGTAACTTTTTCTTAATTTGTATCACTTTTTAAATTTCGTTACTTTTTTCTAAATTTCTGTCGCTTTTTTGAATTTTCATCACTTAATAATTATTACTTTTGTCACTTTTTTAAATCGTCTTTTTGAAATTTTTATTACCTTTTTTAGTAACAAACATAACTTTTTAATAAAAGTCACATTGTTTAATAACAAAATTTACTAAATTTTTAAAAGTGATATTTTTATAAAAAATTTACACAGTATTTTTTTATTTCCAAAATAATTTTCATTTGATTTTTCAAAAGATTCATAATTTTAAGGATATTTTTGTAAGTTGTTCTTTTGAAATTCGATGTTGAAAAGCATGGCGAAACTCATATTCTGTTCTGGCCCAATCCTGTCCTACCCCACCCTGATAAGCCTAGACGTGATCTAGAAACTTCATGGGCCAATGGTGGGCTGGACTTTGCCCAATACAATGTTGGCCCAATTTGAGAAACGCAATCCCCTCCATTAGAAATCGCATCTTCATGAATTGCAACTCTTCTCTCTCCCCCATCCCCGAAACTTTTGCAATCATTCTTCAACTTTTTCTCCTTCAATTCTGCAGATCAAATAAACCCAAATTGATAACAGAAGTACTAAATTAGTACAAAAGTTGATAACTTTAAGCTTTACCAATAATGGCCGGAGTTTCAGTAGCGGCAGAGTGGCAGCTGCTGTACAACCGGTACTACCGGAAGCCGGAACTGTACCAGATGCAGTGGAAGCACGTTGACCTCACAAAGAGCAAGGTAGCCTGTGCACCTTTCGGAGGTCCCATCGCCACCATCCGCGACGACGCGAAGATCGTCCAGCTCTTCGCCGAGTCGGCCCTTCGCAAGCTCCGCATCTTCACCTCCTCCGGCCGATTGATTTCCGAGACCGTCTGGAAGAATCCCGGTGGTCGCCTCATCGGTATGTCATGGACCGATGATCAAATTCTAATCTGCATCACCCAAGACGGCACTGTTTATTTTTATAATATCCATGCCGAATTAATCAATAATTTTTCTTTGGGCAAAGAGTGTTTCGAAAGTAGCGTTGTCGAGTGTGTGTTCTGGGGAAACGGTGTCGTTTGTATCAATGAGGCGTTTGGGATTTTTGCGGTGCCGGATTTGAAGAATCCCAGGGCCGTTAAAATGGCGGACTGTAATTTGGAGGATTTGCCTCATTGTATAGCTGTGATTGAGCCGCAGTACACTATGTCTGGGAATGTGGAGGTTTTGTTGGGGATCGGGGATCATGTCTTGTTGGTAGAAGAGGATGGGGTGCAGCAGCTTGGTGTAGGTATAGGGCCTTTGCAGAAGATGATGGTTTCGAGGACTGGGAAGCTTCTGGCATCGTTCACACATGACGGGAGGCTTCTGGTTATGTCAACGGATTTTTCAAATATTATCTTTGAGTACACTTGTGAGGTATAATTAGTTGCGTCGAAAGGATTTGTGAATTTCAACTCAAAATTATATGGACAAACAAAGTGCTTCTCCATTGCAGTGGTTGATTTGTTTGGAAAAAAGTTGTCTTTATGGTTTAAATGCATACTATATAACGTCAAAAGTGCCACTCAATAATGGTTAAACTGGATGAGCTGGTTGAGGTTGGGGTATCCTAGCTAGGACCTGTATCTCTAGCATTATGGCTTACCGTTTGTTTGATTTTTCTTTGTAATGCCAACCATAACCTTTTGTTACGGTAGTGCTCAAAATGGATGAAGTGATTCTGCTGTGCTTTCCAAATCAGAATCTGGAAATAACAGTCTTAGGATTTCAGGTTGAATAGTAAGAGTTGGAAAATAGTCTTTTTTGCATCATTATGACTTCTGAGTTTTCTGTGGACATCATATGTCAGTGGTCCATTTAATAAATCAGAAGGTACAGGCCAAAAAATTACCTAGTTTTAGAATTGTTTATTCTGTTATCTTCTTGAGCATCTTTATATCAGCTGACCATAGAATTAAGCCTTATGTAAAATACATAGATGGAGAACATTGATGATTCACATAGATGTTGTCTTGCTGAGTACTTAGTAACGACATCAATGAGATCATATTATTTCAATTTAATCAGCCTATCAACTGAATATTGGACTACAAAATGGAGAATTGACTGCCTCTGGGGTTACGAATATAAAAAGCATTTTTTGTCTTAGGGATGATGGGTATGTATAGCAAATAAGCAAGTTATTAACTGTGAACTACATCTAGAGTCCAATTATATATATTGTTGTACTCTCAAGGTCTCAATTTAAAAAATGAGGCTGGCATGTACATTTCAATCTTTCTGATGTTCTCCACTATCTTTGTGTGTATAGTCAGCTCTTCCACCTGAACAGCTGGCTTGGTGTGGAATGGACAGTGTCTTACTATACTGGGATGATATGCTATTGATGGTAGGTCCTTATGGTGATCCTGTGCGCTACATATACGATGAGCCCATAATCCTTATCCCTGAGTGTGATGGAGTAAGGATACTTTCTAACACAAGCATGGAATTTCTACATCGAGTTCCAGACTCCACAGTATCTATCTTTCAGATTGGGAGCACCCTTCCTGCTGCTTTGTTATATGATGCCCTGGATCACTTTGACCGGCGGAGTGCCAAGGTAGTCAAGCCTTTTACTTTTATCAATAGATGTTCCATTTTTTATTGGTAATTATCTATCAGTGAAATGTTAGCTTTTTGTAGTTTAAACTTTACACTTCTAGATCATTAGTTGTTGATCTCAAAAATGTGCCAACAAAATCTCAATCATGTCCTCTCCGTGCAAGCATCACTTGCACACTCAAACACCATGTTAGGAGGCAAAA